TATTCTTAGTTCTGAACGAGAATCATATCAGCAAACCTTCAGAATAAGACAATTTCCATTTAAATGACTAGAATTTTACAAAAATATTCCCTTACTTAATTGTCAGATTATTTCATATTTAAATACTATTAATTTTTATGAGTACTTAACGTTTCATGCTACAGGGAAGGCAAATTATGTGTTTTATTGAAATGTTGATAGCTTAGTATTAAATAAAAAAATCCATATATTCCATTTAAGTATATCCATAAACAAGCAAACTACAAAAGTTTATTTAATCTCAATGAGGAAAACATGACAGTTTTAAATTAGTTTTGCATTTTATCCGTAACCATTATGCATGCAATAACGATTCAATCTACTAAATTATTGCTTTTTTAGAGCTCTACAAAATGGTTTGGAAAGAAATTGAAAAACAAAACTTAATGTTTTTGGTGTCAAAAATAAGTAAACCCAATTTTTACCCTATAAACACCCTTTCCATTGTCCGACCATGCTGGCTCGCGAACTCGTTAGAATAGACTAAGTTTTACACGTTTGTACCAAATTTCATCAAAGTTGTTTTTTTTTCTCGAGTTATAAATTTGAACAGAGGGCGTTTTGGCCTCTGGGGACATCAAAACGAAACAGTAAATGGGCCCCGGATCGGGACTGACCATGAGACCTAAATGGTAATAGCTTATTCCCTATTTTGAAAATTCACTAAAAAAATGCAAAATTTTTGTCCATGACAATTTTTGCCCCTACAAACCGGTTAGTTTTGATGCATCTATAAATATATCATAGTAAAACCCATATACTATGATATAGTATGGTGAAAGACTAGAAATTGTTTGAGTTCAGCTTTAACCTGATTTGATATACATTTTCAAACTCTAAAATAAATTCTAAAAGGCTCACTTACTTATTCAATAATTTTATATTTATTTGTGCTTGAAAATGATTTGCATTGGAAACGAAAAGTGTGAATATTGTCACAATTGTTCGTTAACTTCTATAAATAGGTAAATTATAAATAACTAGGCCTAGTTAGTATCATCGATCTCTATGGCTAGTATTTTATATTGAAATATATTTTTTTTTAAGGAGGCATATTTTATAAACCAATAACAACATATTGAACGAAACGTGAACCCACATGCTTCACCTTACGAGAAAAGCTAAATTTATTCTTAATTAGCAGTATGGGAAGTCTCATAGCCATATCATCTCCTATCAGGATGTCAAAGCTCTTTGGAATACCCCTTGAGCCAAAATAATCATATTTGTTTGGGTTGATCATATGATCCATTAGACTGGTGTAGGACAGTTCCGGCTTCCGCCTCCAGGTGTATGCATCTGTCTTACCCCTTACTCACTATTGTCTGAGTCTATCTTTATCCAAGTACGGCTCTTGTCTACATGTTCTCTTATCTGTGTTTGTTTTCACACAGAGGGAGGCAAACATCGTAGGCGCCCTGGGCTCCGTATCCCCTTACTGTTGTTGTACTCGCAAAACAGATAGAGTAGTCTAAATATTTGGAAAGTTAGTTACGTCTAGTTACACGTAACTAAACTACTTCCCTGTAGGGGGATTCGCGAAAAACTAATTTAACATCACATGGTTTTGAAACTTGTTAAATTATAATTTTATAGTTCGCAGAAATTACATTTCTTTTTATTCAACATCCTTAATATACTGGCAAAGGTTTATTGTGATGAGCATATAAAGTTAAGAAAAAAAAGAATGTAAATAAATAATTTACGGGCGTAAATTATGTTTAGACGATCTTTTTTCCTTCATTATTTACATGTAGATTTTTCCCCTAATTTAACATACTTCTTAATGAATTAACCTGTCGAAAAGTCAAAAGTCAAAAACCAAGTTTTGTAGGCATGGAGTCTACAAAAAATTATCGGTTGGCTGATAAAATCTTAAGTATGTAAATTTTAGGCTATTACCAATTAATTCGAACGTAAAGAATAAATACCCCCGCCGCAGCAAACCTGCCGACTAAGCGAATTTCCATTTGTCTGAATTGATTTTCAGTTAAATATATTTTAATAACATTAGGTTTAACGAGTACCTAGGTTTGCTGCTACAAGGAAACTAATAAAGTGTGTTTTTGAGTAAAATATTGATAGTTTAATAGAAAATAAATAAATTTGCCAAGTTTGATCAAAATATATCCATAAACAAGCAAACTACAACATTTGACAATATTCTCCATAAGAATAACATGGGAATTTTAAATTTACAATTTTTTTAATTTTCTCCGTTACTAATAATCGAACAAAAATACTTTTATATACTAAATTATTTGTTTTTTTAAGCTCCTTAAAAAGGTCTAAAGAGAAATCGGGAAATTTGGTGTTTTGAGGGTCAAAAGTGAGAAAAACCAATTTTTACCCCATAAAACCCCCCGTAAAGCCCCGTTCCCATGATCCGATCGTGCTGGTTCGCGAACTCATTCAAGTTTATCCCGCTTTACATCTTTAAACCAAATTTCATCAAAATCGGACAAAAATTACTCAAGTTATCGTGTTCACGGACGTATATCTTCTAATATATAAAATTCTCGTGTCACAGTGTCTGCAAACTCCTCCGGAACGACTTCACCGATCGTTATGAAATTTGGTGTGTAAATTCTCTAGGTATGCGAATCGGACGTAAACTATTTCCCGTTTCGAAATTCTTATATAAGTCTATATATATATATATACATACTAGCTGACCCGCCGAATTTCGTATCGCCTAAGTTATAGGTTTCCCCTAAGACAGACCGATGGAAAGAAAGTACCGTTACGTTTAATTTTCAAGATGATCTCGTTCGCATCGCTCAATCACGTCCTGGTTGAAGTTCGTTCGCTACGCTCACTCACCTTTGGGTTGGAATAACATGGGAATTTTAAATTTACAATTTTTTTAATTTTCTCCGTTACTAATAATCGAACAAAAATACTTTTATATACTAAATTATTTGTTTTTTTTTAAGCTCCTTAAAAAGGTCTAAAGAGAAATCGGGAAATTTTGTGTTTTGAGGGTCAAAAGTGAGAAAAACCAATTTTTACCCCATAAAACCCCCCGTAAAGCCCCGTTCCCATGATCCGATCGTGCTGGTTCGCGAACTCATTCAAGTTTATCCCGCTTTACATCTTTAAACCAAATTTCATCAAAATCGGACAAAAATTACTCAAGTTATCGTGTTCACGGACGTATATCTTCTAATATATAAAATTCTCGTGTCACAGTGTCTGCAAACTCCTCCGGAACGACTTCACCGATCGTTATGAAATTTGGTGTGTAAATTCTGTAGGTATGCGAATCGGACGTAAACTATTTCCCGTTTCGAAATTCTTATATAAGTCTATATATATATATATACATACTAGCTGACCCGCCGAATTTCGTATCGCCTAAGTTATAGGTTTCCCCTAAGACAGACCGATGGAAAGAAAGTACCGTTACGTTTAATTTTCAAGATGATCTCGTTCGCATCGCTCAATCACGTCCTGGTTGAAGTTCGTTCGCTACGCTCACTCACCTTTGGGTTGGAGCTCGTTCGCTACACTCACTCACCTTTAGGTTGGAGCTCGTTCGCTGCGCTCACTTGCCTTCAGGTTAGCTCGTTCGCTACGCTAACTTGCCTCCAGGTTGAAGTTCGTTCGCTACGCTCACTCACCTTTGGGTTGGAGCTCGTTCGCTACGCTCACTCACCTTTAGGTTGGAGCTCGTTCGCTGCGCTCACTTGCCTTCAGGTTAGCTCGTTCGCTACGCTAACTCGCCTCCAGGTTGAAGTTCGTTCGCTACGCTCACTCACCTTTAGGTTGGAGCTCGTTCGCTGCGCTCACTTGCCTTCAGGTTAGCTCGTTCGCTACGCTAACTCGCCTCCAGGTTGAAGTTCGTTCGCTACGCTCACTCACCTTTGGGTTGGAGCTCGTTCGCTACGCTCACTCACCTTTAGGTTGGAGCTCGTTCACTGCGCTCACTTGCCTTCAAGTTAGCTCGTTCGCTACGCTAACTCGCCTCCAGGTTGAAGTTCGTTCGCTACGCTCACTCACCTTTTGGTTGCAAATTAGCTGTTCTCATAAATGTAAAAGAAATAATAGTGCTGCACCCTGTTGGTAATCCTTGTAACTTTAATGCTATTGAACATCATATAACAGAACCAACTTGTTTAATTGAAACAGCTGTTAAGATTCATTAATTCCATTTCTCATAAGGTTAACATGGGAAACTCCAGAGCCACTGGGGCGGAGCCCTTTTAAGAATTTCGAAACGGGAAATAGTTTACGTCCGATTCGCATACCTACAGAATTTACACACCAAATTTCATAACGATCGGTGAAGTCGTTCCGGAGGAGTTTGCAGACAAACACTGCGACACGAGAATTTTATATATTAGATATAAAAATTTGAACGAATGGTGTTTTTGGCCTCTGGGGACATCAAAATGAAAAAGTAAATCGGTCCCGGGTCTAGGTCTTACCGTGCCACCTACGGTAATAGCTACTTCCCTATAGGGAAATTCGCTAAAAAATATGATCACTAACCTATTATATCTCCAAGTTATGTTATTTTTGAAGGAGGTAACAACAAATTTGGCAATTTCAATTAACATTTGTCCTGACTTCAGTTAATTTGGGATAAATGTCATTCAAATAGCTTGCTGCTTCATAGTTTCAAATAGATAAACTCAAACTCAATTTCTTTAAACTTTACTATTTAGTTTAAAGGTGTTTTTGGCCTCTGGAGTTCTGGAGACATTCGCTATAGGGAAATTCGCTAATACATAATCAAAAGAGGGTTTTGGGGTTAAGACATATTACCTTACCTAAGTTTACTATTTATGTTCAAGGGATGTGATCGAACGTTCATCATGCAACTACGATTACTTTAAAGCACATTCTTATCACAGAAGAGACGGATCTCTATTTTTTATCTGTGGTTTTATCCAGATAACGATAATTCCTCAGTTTTAATGATGGGTATTTTGAAATGATACACATTTAATTTCAGCAATGTGTGTAATAGAAAACAACATCATTTTTTTCTGTAGTTGTTTTTATCATGTTTCACCGTTTTGACCGTATCTATTGTTTACATACGTAGCATGCAGAGTGTCAGCTATCCTTCCAACCATATGCATTGCTTTTTTGGTATAGCCTGAAAAAAAACTGAAATGTTTTGATCCAGACAAAGATAATTGTATCACTTACATTTTGTAGTAAAATTATTTTTGATAACAATAATTTTTCCTTTGTTTGTTCTTTTATAAAATTTTCTAGTTCATTTGTCATATGATAAACGAACAAAAAAGGGACAAGATAAGAATAATTATTAGAAACAAGAGGGGGTTTTAAATGTTTTATTTCGTGTGTGTTTTGTGTGTTCCGTGTTATTTAAAACCTCTGACGAACTCCACCATAAGAAATTTGTAGATCTCATCTGACATTCTGACCTGATGATGTGCTCAATTCGCCACATGAAAAATCTGCAGTCTTTCAAACTACACGAGCTCGTTTAGACAGGAACCAGGTAAAACCTTACTTAATTAATTAATTAAAACTATGCAGAGGCTAATCCATGATAAAACTTGTAAAAATTGTGTTATCCTCCCTTTAGGTTCTACCTCGGAACACTTTTACACAGCTGAGGTTTGGCTTAGGTTCACGCCACTATCACATAGCTAAAAGGGATTGGTGAATGGCATTTGGAACCCCCCTATGGGACCAAAGCTCCGGGATCTACCACTAGACCAACTCGCTCCCGACGAGTAGGAAAACACCAGGAGGAACGAGTTCGGAAGTTTTTGAAGGGATGGTTTTTTTACTATCTACCTCCGACTTTTTGAGTCCAAGGCCATTGAAAGGCATTTTAGACTAAAAATACAAAATAAAAATTGGTTTAGGACAATATTACTTTTTACTATGCTTTTCGTTGCATATTTCAATATTACATATTTGTATCTTTTGAGCTGCAATGAAAATCACGCTTAGCATCATAGTTAAATAAGGTTTCTATTTAATGTTGAGTAATAAATAAAATTGTTACAAAAGTGTGTTGGGAATACGATTCTCAAAAGAGATATACCGTACCGTAAAAATGTAGTTAAAACATCACCTCAGATTTGAGACTGTAGATTATTTTCTGACTTAATTGGATGTGATAAAGTCATAAAATAGAGATAAAGGGAAATTTGAGTGTCTACTGAGCAAAAGACGCATAAAGAGAGAACCTCTAATTTATGATTAACAAATTGGGGCTTTTGAAAAAAAAATAATAGGCTACTAAATTTGCAAAAATGTTGATGAAAAATTACGAGCCTTTTTTGTCAAATACATACAAATTTAAATATTACAGCTAGGTTGTTAACATCAGAACAAAAACTCAAGGATGTGATGTCTAACATCATTATTCCATTTATGTCACCACACAGAGTTCATGTACTTTCTGCATTCATGCTAATACAACAGTTGTATAGTAGTTACTATTGTAATATAAAGGCTAAATACAGTACCAACTACTTAAATAATTACTTACGACCTGTAAATGTCTTCAATGACCCCTTTGTCTCGGTATATTCTACACAAAATTGAAATTATTAGTACATTGTTTGACAAACATTTGACTTGTTGGTATGTGGCCTATGTTTAGTATTCAAAACAATGGAAAGATTTTTTGTGTTTTAAAAAATTTGGTTTAAAGGAAGCATTCTGACCCCTAGTCTTGTTGCAATATAACGTCAATCTTTTGTAAGAGAGCATCGTTAAAATAACCTAAAAAATTAAAAAAATAAAAATAAATGGTTAAAATAAATGGTGTCTGCGTCTGAAATCGACCTAGCATTGAATCAAACAAGTGACCTTTAGATTTGAAAGTGTCCTAAATACACTACTTTAGTACATAAATAATTAGATGTATGTATTTATTTATTTATTCTTCCAAACGGTGCATACAAATTTAAAACATAAATTGTAACAAGTTGCTAACAGAACTTGTTGTGTAGATTGAAATCATACGTCTGCTAATTAGTGACACCTTTGCATTGGGTTTCCATTTAATAAACTTGTGTTTTTAGTAGCGTTTTGGTGAAATGTGTTTAAAATTATGTCACAAGCTTTAAACAAAACTGTGTACACGTATCTCGAATTCGAGCAATTGTGAAGTATTACAGGCGTTAGGGCCTATTTTAAAACAAATGACAGTCATAATTTCTAATGACTTAAAAAGATTCGACTCAAAGATTATGGAAAGACTCACGATGTACATAACAGTTCTATAAGTTAATCAATATTCTAGTAAATATCTTATGATTTTTCAAAAGCTGATCGTGAATTTTAGTGCTTTCTTGAAATGTTTCCAACTCATAGCCGCATTAGGTTGTACATAATAACGATTATAAAAACAAAACATTATTTATATTTCTTCTACTTGGTGGTGTTCTATGACTTTCCTATGTTTCCATAGTTTGCAAATACATTAGACTCTTTAATTATTGCCAAAGGAATACAGCTAACAGCATAGTGTACATTCAGTTTTCTTTTTAATATATCAAATCGTCCAGGCTTTCTAGATGTTTTTCCATTGCAATATTTACGCCAACCCAAATTGAAATATAAATAATTCATTTCAACCAAGTCAGTAAATGTTTGTCGTTTCCTTAAATTGCTCCTAAAATATTAACTGCAATTAAATTATTCAGCTGATTATAATGTAAACAAAATTCTTCATAAAGGTAACATGGGAACTTTAAAAGCCACTGGGATCTGCCCAAGGGACTTTTTCAAAAAATGCAAGGTCAGTTTGCAAATCTACACAAAGATTACCAAATTTGCCAAATTTAAAGACGAGCATTTTGTTATATAATATGTGGGGTTAAGTATTAAAACAAAAAAACCTTATTGTTCACAAAGTTTCATGTGTAGCGTATTAATTATATAGATTAAAAAATGTTCATTAAACAAAGTGTGCATAATATGGCTCTACTTTTCTCACAATCAGTAAATAACAAATCTCAATAGACTTGATCTCAACCTCTCAAGGAGAATCTGAAGAGCATTTTGGGGGACAACTAAAGCGAGAAAACACATTCAGAAACATTGCTTGTTTTCAGATATCTCAACATCTATCAGTCTGACAGACCTTTAATTGATTATAAACTAGTGTAAATACGATACCTTTTTACACGACCAGATATGGAATTATGTGACTCTAAATCGATATTAAAAATCGATATAGTTTATACATTAACTGTTTGTATTTAGCAATAAATAAGTGCAGTAGCTTTATACACAAATAAGGCATTTCACTGTGAATTATTTGATGTTCTCAAACGTGTTGGTCTTGCAACCCATCACCACTTTGAAATTTATTCGTGATCCACATATTAAATAATAATAATATGCTATAACTATTTATTACAATAAATGTATTAATATTGAGAAACATGGACCCTCATGTGCATTGAGAAACACAGAACTAAATGAAAATTGTGATGATGATGCTATTAAAGTATAACATCTAGTCCAAAACACTATTGTTTGAGAAACCTTAAATTATTTAGACCCGAAATTTATGCATACTACTTACAAGAGACTTTATGTGGATCGACAGCTGATAACTACTGTGTGTGTACTTTCCACACATTCCCTATGTCTCTACTTGATTCATAAGTAGGTTAAACGCTCACACAAATTCGTTTTTACAACCCTATTAAGTCAAATCAAGTCTTCCAGTTGATTTTACTATACAAACAAGTAAAAAAAAGCCAGGGATGTAAAAGTACGTTTCATATGTTTGTTGTGTGTGTACGTGTCACAAATTTGTTAAGTAAATCGTGCATTTATCAAAACTCCATCCTAATTATATTTCGTAATCGCGGTACTAACGTCATATCCAACGATCGCTGTCACATTGATACATAATTGGGAATTATGACCAGCGTTATAATAATTCGAAATAAATGTTGGGCTAAAAACATCTCAAATACTGGTATAGTAGTAGGCCTAACGTGTTATCCTTTTAAAACTCTATACGTCTGCCCAGATATGATTTAGGTCAGGACACAAAACCTAACCTCTTACCAAAGCTAAATAAAACTATACCACTCACCTACTTGTCCTTCGCAATCGTTTGGTTCCGCCGGTTCTTTTTTGACCTTAGCAACAACCCACATTCTGTTGTTGACATGGTTGATGGTGTCATACTGATACTTCCTCCGATAACAAGACTCATCCACCATCTTGTACTGAATTATGACTGTTTTCCACCGCGGATCGTCTTGGAAGGAGTCCACAAACCAGATGGATGACAACAGATCCAATTCAGCACACGAGGCGACCTGTATGCGATCTATGATTGCCTCTCCGGCTATCACGTCAACCAAATACTTTTCAGCCTCGGGGTCTCCAAATTTCCCACACAAAGCATAGCAGTATTCGCACCAATATTTGATTGCAATCGAGTATTTATTGAGGCTAAGACTTCTCAGTTTCCCATTGCTGTGCATACCTAGAACTATCCACAAAAAAGTTTGTATTGTTCTAAATTGAATTAGTACAATTAATTATTGAGTTGTTGGTACTGAGTAGACAACCAATCTAAATGGACCAACCATTTTTTTTATTAATTTTTTTTTATTTTTTTTTATGGCAGCTGATGCCATTTTTTTTATGCATAGTTAGTTTTGTAACTAATGAGTGAAGTGTGGAAAGTTTCTCGAGTGCAGCAAAGGCAGTTTGCACTTGCGTTACACATTATATTTTTCCTACAGTTACTATAAAGCATATAAATAATTAGTCTTTCAAACACTGTACAACACGTTTTTAGGTTAAGTTAAATCCAAACATTGAACGAAATAGTAAACGTTGCTCCTGCTGATCGTATTCATAATATCGTTAAGTGTTGCCAACTTGCCAACTTATTTTCAAGCGTACGCGTATTACATGACATACACATGTAAGTATTACATGGTACTTACACATAAATACAGCCAGCTTTTTTTATTTTTTTTCATGATGATTTGAGTTGTTTGGTTGGAATACTAGTGTGTGAAAAAACTGTGCGACAAAAGTAAAAAGTGTGCGGCAAAATTAAGTAGATGCAGCAATAAGCAACTTTCTGTGCTATAATCAGTGCAAGGAAGGCCACTTTGTCAGGTGACTGTAGGAAAAAGAACTATCATTGTTAAATGAGTCAAAGTGAGCTACATTCTCTCTTTTCTGCTCCTTAGTTTTTTAAATCTTTTAACGGGGATTAATTATGTAATGAAAATATAGTTTTAGAATAAGTTGTTATTTCAGTTTAGTTTGGTAAAAAGTTTGCGTAATTAACAGAAATCAATAACTTACATCAACGCACCGACCCTGCTGTTTGATTCAACTACCATAACTCAACTGGCTGCAATTTAAATTAAAAATGAAATGTATAGTCCCAAATACAGGGTGACACAAAGGAACCTGACGTTTTTTAAACAGCTGTTCCATTGTTGTCTCACGTGGTAGGAAGATTTAAATTATGCCATTACCTTCAGTGAGGCTTGCCATTTTTGTTGAAAAAGTGGACCGTAGACCATCGCGTTTTCGTATACGATACTTTGGTCCTAAATGGTGAATCCGTCGTCAAATTCAGCGGGAATTTTGTCGACTTTTTAATATCGAACGCCATGGAACGGTTCCAAGCCGAAATACGCTATTAAGATGGGTTTCAGGGTTCCGAACAACTGGGAATATAACAAGAAAGAAACCACCAGACCTTGTCAGAACTTCGAGAACACCCGAAAACATCGCCAGAGTGAGAGCAGTATTGAATGAATGTTTCCTAACAAGGGTATTTCTCGCTTTGGTGACATACCGTGGCCGCTAAGATTACCTGGCTTGTCCACTAGTGATTATATCCTTTGAGGGTTTCTTAAAGAGCATGTTCATGTTCACTAACCACGCACTCTAGAGGATTTGAAGTTGGCAATCACAGAAGAGATCGATGGCATTGAACAAGACCTCCTGACCCGAGTTTCAGATGATTTTCTGACCAGAATGAACATTTGTAGATAAGTACATGGCCGCCATATGCGTGACGTCATTTTCAAAAAATGACTGTTTTGTAACAAATGGCAAATGTTTACCTCACTATGTACAGTATTAAAACCATTTTATTCCTTTTAACTACTGTGTACTACTTATTTAAAAAACGTCCGGTTCCTTTGTGTCACCCTGTATAATAGTCGAAGGTACATTCAGTTACTCTGATCTAAATCAAAAGACGTGGAATATTTCTTACCAAATACTTTTGTTATTAGGTATATTTATTGTTTTCTTTTTGTTGTTAAATTTCTAAATTTTGTATTTCATGGGCAAAGGTTGCCGTTAAAATTTTATTGATGTTTAAATAAATTAAATAAATTCTCATGCTTTAAATAAATTTGTTCATTATGCCATTTGGACTATTGTTGATTTGTTAAAGATTATACTTTATTGTGCGTCCACTTTGTTATTCTGTACTTTGTTACATTGTATTTTGTTGACTTGTTACCAATATATCATGTTACTTGTTAATTTATTTAACTTTGTGTCCAAACATATTGCCAATGTATTATAATTCCTATTGATTTTTGTTTTGTCTGATACAAAATTATTTAACATTGTTCAATGATAATCTTTAGTCTTTAATTTCTCTGTCTGCCATCTCATAAAGTTTTATACATATTTTTTGAAATGTTGTAAAATCATTTATATTATGTATGTTATTTTAAAAAGGTGTTGTCCGTTGGAAATATAAAAAGATCACTACAATACAAAACATGGAAACTTTGGAATCAATTAGCACAAAGCCTTGATGTTGGATTTTTTTGTAATCCACCGAGTGCTCATATTGCTTTTCAGAGATTTATCGAATATTTAAATGTAGTGGGCTTTACAATGGATATGAGGCTACATTAAAAAAATGGTCCTGTTCTTAAGTAAACACCAAGTTTAACAACAAATTAGTGTAGAATTATACATATTTTATCTACTTTATACCCTTAGAGCATTATAAATATCACCGCGTCCTTTTACAAAATATTCTATCTAGTTTGTGTAAATTATTTGTGTAGGCCTAAACAGTGTAAAGTAAAAAGCCTTTTAAAATGCAAACAAAAGGAATGTAAACAAAAGGAATGTAAACATTGTAGCTTATTTGTACTCCCATAAAACAATCAAATACAATTCATATAATAAAATTGTGACATTAAAAGCCTGTGGGGCAGATTACTGGCGATTTAACAATCCCTGTATAAACATTTCGTCTTAGGCTAAATATCTTAACAAAACTGAAAATACATAAACTAAATAGTAAACTAAATTGAAAAAATCCAGAAAGAAATAAACATAAAAGTAAATAATTAGTAATGACAAAAAACACTAGCTGTGGTAAGTAACTAAGTAAGTCCAATGGAATACAATTTTGTAATTATTTTATCTAATTGTAATAAATAAATACCAATGAGACATTCTGAGAGATTTATGAATTGAAACTTATGATTCAATTAAGCCTTCCATTGATTGTTAAACGTCATGTTGCACACACAGAGGAATATTATGGGTTAAAAATTAAATTAATATAAAAATATGGTGATTTATTTCCAAATACCCCACTGTTATAATCAACCCATACTGAAAGCTCAAACTCAACCTATTGTAAGGTACAGCATCTTTGATGTCAAATTGACAATTACGGTAGCAAAAGCACACTCTTAGTTTTGCTCATTCAAAAATGTTCTTTGAATGAAAATCGGCTACAGCTAGTTCACATAGATGGAATATTTACTTCAGTATTAAAAAGTCAATACTTTTACTTAAATATTCTAAGTAACACAAGATGAATCCTAATGTGTGTAACAAAAATTAACAGGAAAAAGTTGTATGCTGGAATAGTGTGAGTTTTCGTTCAACTAAATCCTTTATGAATTAATATTGACTACAGTTTGTGCATAATACAGGGTGTCCCACGTAAGGTGTCTCAAATTGATTACGGAAAAACGGCTTAACGTACAAGGATTAAATCTGTTTAACACTAATGGCCCCATTTCATTTAGTGTTAAACCCAAATAACATGCATTTGATATAGGAAAATTAAGTTTTTTTTTGTTGTTTACACTAAAAGTAAAATAGATACGAAGTAAGTGTAAGTTACAAAGTTGGAATTAAAAAACCTATAACATGATGTGCCGCTTGACATATGTTGCTATTTGAAAATTTTAAACAATGGCCATTTGCAAATTTTTAAATAAAATATTTATACTGTTATTATTTAAAAAAACATAGCATATCACAGTAAAGCAAATTTCATAACGAGTAAGAAAATTCAACCGGAAAAGGGCTAAGTGCATTGGTATAGGAAAAACAGAGTATTAAAAACATATTGGTTTTTCCCAAAAATACTGCCGCCATTTTGAAACGGAAAAAGATAATTAATTTCTGTTTTCGCCAAAACGTTTGTCTATTAAATACCTTTAAACCCGTGTATAACAGGACATATGCTTACATTTGAAAATTCTGAGAGTCGATCTAGTGACCCTCAGTTATTGGCACACCCTGTATTGGGAAAAAGTAAAAAATATTTTTACGTTATTTCTTGGGGTCGATTTAGCGGGAAATAATTTTATTTCAACCTTGTACTTTAAGCCGTTTTTCCGTAATCAATTTGAGACACCTTACGTGGGACACCCTGTATAATAGGTATGCTTCATTATTTAAAAGTCAATAACACAACTTAAACGAAGCCTTAACTCAACTTTGAACTAAATAAACCATGTTGTGTTATTAAAACACTAAAGTGAAGGTTCGAATAGTGGTAGAATATTATCCTAACCCAATCATGTAGAAATACGAAACTCTGCTGAATCGAATGAAGTAATTGGTAACTTTAGTAACTTAGTAATTAACTCTACCTTAAACTCTGGTTCAATTCGGTTATCGGAAAGTATGGATATCCATGAACAAAAAAAATTTACTCTTGAAAATATTGAGTCATTTGTGTGTTTAACATTTACATGTGATAACCACTACAGTGTGTATGTTTACTTACCCACAGGAGCGGATTTTGATATCTGAAAAAATATATAACATTAAAATATGAAGAGGTAGTGGTAGTAATATACACGAATGTACAATCGATCTGTTTGTAGACATTAGCCAAATTATATTTACCCTTACATTAATAAAAACCTTGTCGCAGCTTACAGTATAACTGTCAACCGGGCAAGCCAAAATTAATAATAGACCCTAGTAAAAAGTTTGTTTCAATCATATACTACCTTTTTAAATTCGTTAATTCAACATTTTTTTCATTTTCTACTTAATATTTTTAATGTCATTCGATTCAGTTACTACAGCAAATATCGAATAATACACAGGGCTATTCGAAAATATGGTCTCAGTTTCGGTACTTTGTATCTACACAAGTATTTATTAGAAACAAATAAGTTTAACACCGTTAGAAAGGGAAAATTTCAAAGTTTTATGTACAATGATTACAAATGCTCAATGTGTCTCCCCTGTGCTGCATGTCAAACATTGCGATAACCGAATTTGTCTCACACACCAGACAGCATCTCTTGTGTAAAAATTTCTTAAAATTGCCAAAACCATGTTTTTTCTGGTTTTTTTCTAGGCGGTGGTTGAATACCAAATTCGATGGGAAAAGCTCACGGCAATGTAGTAGGAGACTGACTATTCAAACTCTGTCGCACAGAAAAATTTATGTTGCAAAACGGCTGACCATTGCTAAGATAACTTTGGAGCCGTTTACGGAAATATGACCAAGAAAACTTTGAAGTTTCCTCTTTTTTATGGTGTATTTTTATGTTCACCCGATTTATACTTTTTGAGATACAAAGTCATGAAGTTGGGTGTATATTTTTGAACAGTGCTTATATTATATTTGTGAAGTAAACAAATTTAATAAATTCGGCAGGGATAAAACATGTAAGCTAGCTTTAGTAGGTAGGAGAGAGGTTTGGTTTGGTCCATCCTAGGTTCCATTGGCGATATAGTAAACTAGATCTTTGTAATCAATTATTTTCCCTACAATTTTCTATTTCATTATAGATCTGGTACAATACTTCCAAAACTAAAAACTAACAATAATTTAACTGGGTTTTATTTCTAAGGATTTTATTAGTATTTGTCAGTCCTCGTGCCCTTGTTAAATCATCCACTTTTGTTTTGAGTCCAAGAATTTAAACAGGACGTTCATAGTTATAATGTTACCTTCTCTGAGGTACTCTATGAGTTGGATAAAATATGACATTTAACGGCTGATGACGATTCAAATGACGTCAGACCACATATTGGTTGGTTGAAGGGGGGGGGGGGTCAGAAAATATAATTGACGTTGGTGGTTTCAAACTGTGTTATTTGTGGCTTCGTGAATGTATTCCCATATTGACAGCAAAACAACTTAAGCGACTACCTCAGCTTAATATGAACAATGCCTATAGATTTGTGTGAAATGATCTTTGTAGTTTTTTTACGGCCTACAATACAATTTTTTCAATTAGGGTCAACTATCAAAAGCTCGTTGACCAAATACAGCTGGATTCAGTTTCGGTTTGGTACTTGAATTCAATGTTCCTCTAGAAAACAATATTGCCAGAGAAAAGCTAGAAACATTTGATTGAAACTAGACCCAGCCATACTTGAGCATTGAGCCTTTATATATTGTTCCGGCTAATGAAAGGCGAAAAAGTAACATACCAATCTTATGTATCTTCACAGCAAAACTGCAATATTGAACATTCTTGTTAATCATTACTCATATCGAACTCATGATTTGTAACACAATGTATACCTACCGGACACGGCGAAAACCAAAACTTTGGCTCAGATATTTTCGTTGGTCCAGATCTTTCAACGTCAAATGTAGGCGCCACATTGTTGTTAGTAGAGTAAACCTGTGGAAAAGTTAAAAATGTTGAATATCGCATTTATAGTATATTTAATCACTAGGACGTTAAGTGACTCTTTTCAACCCGAGCTTAGGCGAAGCTATGGCCAGAAAATAAACGGGAATTTTAAACACGTTTTGCCCGTGTGATGAACTATTTTTTTTCGTCACATTTCGACATAAAGAAAATAAGTTAGAAAAGTTTGTATGTAAACATAACCTCTTAAAACAACTACCAACTTATAGGCGGCTGTTTAGTAAGTGATTCAATCATTTCGTCCATTACTATGTCAATAACTACATACTATTTACAAGTATGCAACAATATTCCACAGTCAATGATACCAATCGATATATGATTTTGATACCTACGATTGCTTATAAACAAAGTTTGCAATTGAGTTTACAAGAGATGACTTTTACTCCCTAGAGACTAAAAAGCCTTATTAGCTCCTAGGGAGTAAAAGTCAACTATTGTAAACTTCGTTTTTAAGTAATCGCAGGTACCGAAATTGTGTTTCGATGGATTTAATAGGTTGTAGCTAATTGTTAAATTCTTGTCAATAGTTCAATATATCGATAGAATAATATACACTAAAACGAGAGACGAATGCTCTTTTAGCAAATATGAAAACATGTTGGAAGGCACACATGGAATGGATTTTTGTTTTCTAGCTTAGTTTGCTTAAATATCACTATGACGAAAAATATTGTTCATCACAAGGGTGAAAAGTGTCTTTTCAAGCCGCGCTTATCTTTCGACCAAGACGAAGCCTATATTATGTTGGAGATATAATTGGCCATACACTAAAATCAGTTTTAACAGTACTATATTTTAGAAGCATTAAATATTGCTTGATACTCTCTCTTAACGAGTGTGTTGCTTAACCTCATTAACGGAGCTCATATTCCCAGACAATGTCTTTTACTAAAATCTATTGGAGATGTAATCTATGCAATGGATACGGAAAAACACTGTATTTTAGGAGAAATCAACATTACCTTATAATCCCTTTGCTGACAATGATGGTCTTTATCTCTGTAATAGATTTGAAATATCCGAACATCAGCCACTGGATCTAGAATCTTAACATCTATCGCACCAGTTATATCCTCCACGTTGCATGTCCCAATTTGGAAGCTCTCCAGTTCGACATCACCAGCTTTTGTTTTCACAGTCAACCAAAAATCAGTAATAGCGTTATCTTCTTCATCGTACGCGTTCATCATATATTTATCACAAAACACACGTATTTTCCCTTCGTTTAGTGATATTTCCGCTAAAGGAGGGTCGTCGTTTTCTCGGTTGTTAAACACGTAATGGTATTGATCTTCCGGGGGAAGTTCCATAACTGAAACAGAAATGCAGAGAAGTTCTATGGATTCTACTTTTATGTTGGAACACGTAATACATAATAAACAAAATACCCCCGCCGCAGCAAACCTGCAGAATATATGAATTTGAACGGAGGGTGTTTCTGGCCTCTGTGGACCTCAAAACGAAAAAGTAAATTGGTCCCGGGTCCGGGTCTTACCATGAGACCTAATAGACTGATCCTGTGAAACAAACTGTTGCTGTTATAGCTTTAAATAATTTCGTTTCCATTTTCGATGGGTCATAATATTTAAAATTGTACTTGGAAATCAGTCATTCTTTGGCTGAAAACAGTTTGAAGGCATGTTTATCTGTTAGGTAATCTATTTGGCCAATCAATTGCCTTCACAGAGATCGGTTGTATGGAGGATGACGAAACGGTAATGACGCAATGCCTTTGTAGTGACGTAGCCTACGTATCTGTGTTTTCAGTCACTAAAGATTTCTAGACAAAACAACTACAATCTCACAAGGATAAAATTCTAAGGACAATTTTTACAGATAATATAATCAAAACATTTAATTACTATCAAAATTGCATAGCTATATATCTTGCAAAAAGATTTACAATTAATTTATACTCGATTATTTTTTTTCACAAACCAACTGCATTTTAAGCGTATGAGTATGTGTTGCCAAAGCAGATGAGAGCTATTATTTAAAAGTTGTCCAACTGTTCATTAAAAGTAGAAATATGTACATGGCTAAAGTTTACTAATACATATGCTATGTAAGTGATAGAATTCCCTTATGCTTAACCTGAACCTGCTATTAATTTCATGAAAACATAATTCTTCAACACAATATTAATAAACAACAATTCTAATCGTATGTTGTGAAGTAGTTATTTATGTATCACAAATCTACTTATAACATTCTGAAGTTGAAAGTTAAAATCACCTTAAGCAGATCAAATATACATTGTTAAAACCAAATACATTTATAGAATATTGAATATTGCATAACAATATTAGTGGGGTCAGTATCTTTTGAGTAGGCGTGGACGCAATTGCAAAGCATGTGCCCTTAGTTGGTCTTAATATAATGTTATATTGAAACGGGTGTGGTGGGAAGGTGTTATTATAGTGGTTTATAAATAAACCTTACTATTGGATGGTTGTTATTAAAAGATTGTATTTCGTCTTACCAATTCCTTTTCTTGCGGCAGAATACGAGAGGGACAGTAGGAGTATTACCTAAAAATCACGTAAATGTGTTAGAATTTACATGGACCACTATAGTGTTATTTGATTGTTGAAAATTTTGTTAAGTTAAAGTTAAAATAAACGGTATCAGACTTCTGATACATACTTTCTCCCATAAGCTCGTCGACAACCTTTATCATGGGTAAGCGGTGAGAGTAAATATGATATTTTATAGTTAAAAATCACAAAAGCTGTAATAAACCGTAATTGTTACAGCAATGGGGTGTTGTACTATTTTTTTATAATTATAAGAACCATAACATATTAATTTTAATAAAAACCAGCTTTTCTCCAAAAATCTGATTTTTTGTTATTTTATGGTTTTTAATGGGAAAATAACATAAGTTACAATAACTTTTGAACAGTAAATTTTTACGGAAATTGGATTTGTACCATTTTGTTCAGAATTTAAAGGGCTATAACATACTAAATTTGTAATAAAATCCTTTTGGCCATTTTCGAGAAAATCTGATTTTCTGTTATTTTTTTAGGTTTTATGAGAAAATCCCCATTAAAAATTAAAATTTCTAAAAATGAAAAAAAAACTTTTAAAATTTTAAGGACTATAACATATTAAATAAAATTAAAACCAGTTTTTTCTAAAATCCTATTTTTTGTTGTTTTATGGGAAATAACATAATTTACAATAACTTTTGAACAGTAATTTTTACAGAAATGGCAGTCGTACCTTTTTTTCAGAATTTAAAGGGCTACAACATACTAAATCTTTATCAAAAATCTTTCAGGCCATTTTGGAGAAAATACGATATTTTATTATTTTGTTGGTTTTTATGGAAAAATCAAAATTAAAAATTAAAATTTCAAAAATAGAAAAAATACCTGGAGATGCATGGATTAGAACTTACACACCAAATTTCATCGAAATCGGACCACAAGTGTAGTCCCTAGCTCTGTACACATCCTGACACACAGACATACACACAGATATCACTTCGAAAACATTTTTTGGGTCCAGGGGGACCCAAAATGGATATATCCACTCTAAACTCAAACTCGAAAATTTTTGAAGAAAACAATACTTTCCCATATACGGTGTATGTGAAGAAAGGAAAAATGACTCGTTGGTAACATTCTAGACATCATGTAACGTACAAATTCACGTGTATGACATACACGAAATGTAACAATATTTTACTTTTAAATTATATGTACAACTTACCGCGGAACATGATGAAATGTAAAGCGTATTTGTAGCCATACGAGTATATAATCACAACTTTACACTGTGGAGGAAGATACACTGAATGCACGGTTGTTACATAATACCACAATACGCAGCTGTTGCAAGTAATTGTAGCGAAGACCCATTGTACCATTGTTACATCTACATGCAGCATCTGTATTTATGTTAAAAAGATTCTGTGGATACATTTTATATTAACATACTAGCTGCTGTAACCGTGCTTCGCAACGGTTAGGACACTGAAGAGGAAATGTGATGTATAGTTTTAAACATGTGTTCATTAATTGAATGTTTATGTTTACCAATTTTGTAAATAGAATGGATTGAATAAAATAATGTACCTATCTTTTGATTTGAATCTAATTACTATACAATAAATGGCGACGAGGATGACGGAAATAGGAAATATAAAGAAGTTGAGATCAGTTGCAAAAAGACAAATTTCCAAAGCATTTAAACTAATTGTAGAAAATAAATCAACTGATAAAATGACAAGTGCTGAGATAGAGGTGAGGTTAGACAGTTTAAGATCGTATTGGAAACAATTTGAAGATGCACAAACCAAAATTGAACTAGCCACTGAAGACGAAGAACAAGATGATCTAGCCTCGTACAGAAGTGAGACAGAAGAAATGTACATTGTTTTAGAAGCAGTTTTGAGAAATGAAAAGACACGACACAATAATACAGAGCCTACAGCAGCACATACGCTTAACAAGGAACCAAACACAACATCAAACATTAGTTTTGTTCCATACGATGAAGAAGAATCTTTTAGGAATTTCATTAAAAGATTTGAAAATTTTCTTGTACTTAAAGATGTAAATGAAGAGAAAACAAAGCTTTGTAGTTTACTACATGCACTTTCACCTAAACTACATGAACGTCTTCTAGACATAGTTGCCCCTGATGACCCTTACAAGATGAACTATGAAAATGTTGTTACTGTTTTAAAAGACCATTTGGAACCATTACCAAGTGTATTAACATTACAACATCGCTTTGTGTGTAGAGTACAACAACCGAATGAGTCAATCATTGAATTCGCTATGGAATTGAAGAAACTGTCCAAAGATTGTCAGTTTAACTGTGATTGTGGAAAGTCAGTAACTGATATGTTATTACGCATGCAACTGGTAAGAGGACTTCACGACCATGATATTAAAGGACAACTTTTACAGAAGAAAATTGTAACTACTTTTAAGGAAGCACTTGAACTTGCAACATCACTGGAAGCTTCGAGAACTGAAAGCAGCATGATGACTGCTCAAACAGCACCACCAGCAGTTCCAGTGCTCAAGGTTGTAGAGAATCAGACAAGAAAATGGGACAGATACTCTGGGAATAAGAACGCTGTACAGGCAACAAACAAAGACCAATATTCTCCTTCCCGTTCAAAGTTTTCAGGGTTACAAGGACGGTGTTATCGGTGTGGAGATAGAGACCATAGAGCAAATACATGTAAGTTTAGAAATGAATTTTGCAATTTATGTAACAAAGTAGGGCATATTGCAAAGGTATGTATGGGAGGACCAAGAAAACAACGAATTGACCAACTAGACGACAGAGAGACTGAAAAACAGTTAGATCATACTACCTACGATTCTTATAAACTTCAAGTAAATAACAGTGATAAGTTCATTATGAAAATAGAAATTGAAGGGAAACCATTATCTATGGAACTTGATACAGGAGCAGCGCTATCTTCAATCTCATTTGAGGACTATAAGAGATTAGATATCAATAAGAGAATGTTCAAATCACATGTACAGCTTCGCACATATACAGGTGAAATCATACAAACTAAGGGCGTAGTATATGTTAGGTTTCAGTACAAAGAAAAGATTTACTTCGGAAAACTATTTATTATCGACCAAGATGTTGAACCAATATTTGGTAGAGACTGGATAAGAGAAGTCAATTTAGAAATTGGTGATATTAGAATGTTGAATCAAAACTCATCTGAGTTGACACAAGTTCTTGACAGTTATTCAGATATATTCAGTAAGGAAATTGGTTGCATTCCAAATGAAAAGGGACACCTGAATCTAAAAGAAGGCTGTGGTCCAATATTTGTGAAGCCGAGGCAAGTGCCCTATGCTATTAAACAAAAGGTGGAAGAAGAACTCGATCGACTGGAAAAAGCTGGTATTATTATATTGTATAATAATTAGATTCAAATCAAAAGATAGGTACATTATTTTATTCAATCCATTCTATTTACAAAATTGGTAAACATAAACATTCAATTAATGAACACATGTTTAAAACTATACATCAACTCTCCCCCCTTAGTGTAAGGGAAGTATTTGGTCTGAGTGACGAGTCCAAGTGAGTCCAGTGTCTGTCTTGACTTTAAACATAACATACTAGCTGCTGTAACCGTGCTTCGCAACGGTTAGGACACTGAAGAGGAAATGTTGATGTTGAAATCTGTTGTATTAAATAATTATAGATCCGCCTTTGGTCTTACGAACAAAATTTAATTGGACCTCTTAGATTAAAGCTAGGCTAACTTATAAGTATACCTAGTAAAAATTTTATGAGGCAGTGATGCATGTATGAAAATACTCTGCCATACAAACAATAACTTTTATTTAGTTGAAATCTTACATAAAGTTAATAGGCAAAGAAAAAAAAAATCAGTTTATACAGGGTGTTTGGTCATCAGTGTTACAAAATCTTTTTGGTTTAATTTCAAAGTAAATGACGTGTGATGATATATATAAGAGGTTCCAAGTCTAAAAATTAGCTTCCCAAAGAATTATTTTAAGTTTTCCAAAAATAACCATGTTTTAAAACTCAATACATCAATTTCTCAATTACCTGTAAATATATTTGAGTAGATTATGTCATTTTCATGTTCTACGTTAAATTTTAATACGAATAATATAAAGTGATGAAGGAACAACAGAAAAACTCCATTGTAAATAGTTCCAAAGATTAAAATTAATCTCTAATAAAAAATTAGTCTAAATTTTTTTTCTACACCCTTTTTTTCTACATATTTTTCTACACCCTCTATAAAAGAAGGTAGCAAAATATGTTAAAAACTGCGCCATTTTATAGGCTTTCCAACCATATGCCACACTATTGAGTTTTAAATCTGCTTATGTACGCTTTAGCCGTTTGAATACTCCAAAACATGGTGTTTTATAACATTTTAAACATAGATAGTAATAGGCATGAATTCAGCAAAACGTGTATTTTTGTTTCAGTTTAAACAGTAAAGAAGTTCCCTGTTTTCTATTATTCAAAGCACTAAAACAAACAAAAGCAGATCTAAATCTCCATAGTTGGTATATAGTTGGAAAGCTTATAAGTTAACGCAATTTTTAACATATTTTGCTCCCTTCTTGTATACAGGGTGTATAAAAATGCAATAGACCAATGTTTATCAAATATTTATCATAGAACTTAATTTTAATCTTTGGATCTATTTACAATAGAGTTTTTACCATTGATCATCCATCATCTTATGTTATTATGTGTGAGTAAATAATGACTTCCGGACAATTTAAATGAGGTATTTAGATATGTTTCTTACTCAGGAGCAATCCTCTAATATTTCGGTAGAGAATTCCGGGACACTCTGTGACCGTAAACACCAATACAGGTTCTAGGTACCTATTAGGTTTTATTTACTATTAAGGACTTATTGGTCGGATATCTTATAAAATCACAAAAACGGGATTATTTAATAGGATTTTAATAGCGTGGAAGAGAATTTGAATTATTCAGGATTGTGTGACAGGAAGTGCTGATATAGTTTTTGGATCTAGATCACTTAGGATTTTAACATATATGTCTTTTTTTAAAATAGAAATAAGAAATAAATTAATCAATTAGCCACGACTAATTTTATACCTTTGTATAATTATAGTACATCAAACTAATCGCGTATTTTGAACTATTTGGTACGATTATTTTCACATTATCTTAGCCATAGCGGCTGTAATCTTTAGCTGTTGGTTATTGTTGATCTTTTATCATTCAAACATTTACATAAGTCGATCTTTTAAAAGTAAAAAAAATAAGTGTTACTGTCTAGAGCCTAGACGAATGACATCTGGAATAGAATATAATTCATAATGTTTGAGGTTATATGATTAAAACCATGAATACCCATACTGCAGCACACCTGTAGACTACGCAAATTTCATTTGCCCGATTGGATTCAGACTAAAATACATTACTGATCAATTCCATATTTAAATAAAACTAGTTTAATCAGTACTTATGTTTGCTTCTACAAATATTCCAATAAAGTGTGAGTTTCTTCATGAAGTGTTAACAGCTTAGTATGAAATAAACAACTTTTTTTTAGTTCGATCAAAATATATTAATAAACAAACAAGCAACAGCAGTTTACTTGTCCTCCATTAGAATACAATGGGAATTTGATCATTACGTATTATCAGAATTTTCTCCGTAATCATTAAGCATAAAAGAACCCATTAAAATAGCCTACGTAGTTTTTTTCTCTCCACCAAATGGTTTAGAATTAAATGTGACATTTTACGCTGTGAGAATAAAAAATGGGGATAGTAATTTGTATTCCATACAACACCCATGAAACCTCAATGCCATCGTTGGATCCCAACTGGTCCGCAAAATCGTTAAAATAAAAGTAGCTTTACACAAGTTATCGTGCTTGGACATCCACAAACACATAAATTTGAACAGATGATGTTTTTTGGTCTCTAGGGACATACGAACGGAAAAGGTAATCGGTTCAGGATCTAGTTCTTACAATAACACCTACGTAATAGCTCATTCTATGGGGAATCCGCTAAAATTATAGTCAAGAAGTGAAATACTTTCTATTTCTTAAAAGGATTAAAAACGACCAGTTAAATTATCTAAAAAAACAAATTAAATTGGTAAAAAAATAATAATAATGATAAATGATGATTGCGAGAAAAACAATTACAACTCAGTAAATTAGTATTTTACGACAGTTTTGGTGAAATCCATCGCATCACTTTTAATCCTATCAAAGAGGTTTTAGCTACAAAGGACCAATACAGTCTCTCCCTCAACCATGTCAATTCCATCTGACAATGATATGATCACTGTGTTCACAGGGGAGATCATTCACGCAGACCAATTGGTGATAGCTAGGGTTTGAACCCTTCCACAACTCGCGATAAAAACTTAGGGGTGTCTGACTGTGATATAAGTGTAACTGGAGAAGTGGAGTTGATAACAAGTGGGAGTGAGTGGGGGAGGGTGGTAACGATGGTGGGGACGCGGCTCAGTCTTCTATCTGTCGTGAAGGAGTGAGTGTCGTGTCACCGGTAGTGATAACAGATTGGGTAAGTCAAAAGGCAAAGGGATTAGGTTGTTGGTACAGATTTTAGTTTTAAGAAAAAAAATTAAAGTTGCTTATTTTTGTCAGGTCATAAATTTTGAAGCTTTTTATATGTTTTGAAGTAAAACTATATTGCACTTTTTTGTGGAAAATCTGTGTAAACGAGTCTTAATATGCATATGTATACGATTTCAGCAATTTAGTTTTTGTGATAAAATTATGCTTCTAAAAATACATGCAAAATAGATTTAGAGATGAAGCAAAAACCATTGTTGACAGTATGAAAGGTAAAATTAGGTATGTATTTGGATAGGCCTATTTGATTTTCATGTTTTAATCGAAATGATAAATGAAAGTAAGGTTTATTTTGTATCAGTTTAAACAATATTTGAAGTAATTCCTCAAATAAAATGATAATTGTATTAATTTGAAAATGTTTATCTAATTTTAAATAATAGTTTTACATAAACACAATACTGTGAAAAAGTCATATTCCATAAGAAACGAAATGTTAAGGACCCAATGTATACAGGTTGATCACATAAATCAATTGCGTAAATAAAAAAATACTAGGTGTCGTTTATTATTGTTTGTAAATTGTATGTACTCGAGCAAAAATCATCCGATTTTGATGAAATTTAGTACAAACCACGAATACTTGAATAGAACCTGTATGGATCATAAACATAAACAAATATCGTTGCAGGCCCAAAATTAATAATAATTTAACATTGCTTGAATTAAACTGTCAAAATGTTAATGCTATCCGTTTATGTTAATGATCCATACCAGTTTTTTTTTCAATTATTTGTGGCACAAACGTGTAAAACGTTTGTCTACGTTTACGTTTGTACGAACGGCTTCACAAACCAGCATTATCGGGCCATGGGAACGGAGTTGTACGGGGGTAAAAAAATGGTTTTCTCGTATTTATTTGACCCTCAAAACATGTTAAAGAGCATAAAAATAATAATTCAGAATTTTTTCGTTTTGTACGAAATCCATTTCTATACGGTACACTATGGTGAATTTAACACGAAAATAGAAAATAAATCTCTGAATTCTGCAGAGAAAATAATTAAACAAAAAATAATCTATGTAATAAAAATTATTTTTGAATTAATTGTTTTAAATTATTAGTTTTGAAAGCACTAAAAAGCAAATAAGTACTTTATTTGCTTCCTACTGATACATTTCAGAACTGTCTATGCTCAACCCTCAGTTGTTTTCAAAACATTTCAGTTATGTTTATTACATGGAGTACCCTGTATGCTTATGTGGGTTATAAAATAATATGTCACATCGAAGAAAGTCATGCATTGTACTTTATATCATGTTATTTGGTAACCACATAAAAACATTATTTTGCAAAGTAGAGTAAAAAAAGCAGCATTCAAACTTCTTTGTAACTCCTTACAAAGGCATTGTTCATGCATTACTTTACACATCCTTAGTTCAGGAGGATGTTTCAATTTTATCCATCCTCGTTTGTAGAGTGATAGCTTTGTTAAGTCAATACTTAGTTGTGGTTCCAAACCAGATTGTAGCTTTAAACTACTTTGCAGAGAAATGTTGGTTTGCATTTGATTGCTTCAAAGTTCAGAATTGCACACCATTCCTCCCTTCTTTCCCCATACATATTGCTGCCTAAAATTTAAAATTTAAATTTCGTTTGACAGTTTGCTACACGGTAAGTCCATAACTATACCTAAAGTTAAAATCAAATGTACATATCTCTCCATTAATCATTACTATATGCAATTAAGCGGTCATCCGATTAACATAACATTTTGGGAAAATATTTTATACGCACCTGGTAATGTTTTCCCTTATTTCGGTTTCGATATTCGGCTTAGGCGCTGAATATTAACAGTTGCTTGTTATAGTAATTCGAGTTATTTATCAGTTTGTCTACCGATACACGGAAAGAAATTTTAAAAGTCGCTAAACTTAGATACTATACTCTTATTTCAGGGGAATGACAGATGGTTTTACAGAATATATTGTTTACCAAGGTGCCAAGGTGCATTATCACAATAAACCAGTTTCATATTTATATGCACGTTTTCTAATCTGTTCACTTTTTGAACGAATCGTTTTTAATATGAACTTATAATGCTTGGCAGGAATTTTCATAAAAATGTTAAATTGGGATTCATGAATATTTGCTATATTTTAAAATTGTAAAACCTTCGGTAAAATGATTTTATTTGTACTTTTATAATATAATGATTATACAGGCTGATTCTAAATCATTGTTACACATTTTAAACTTTATAGATGAAAAACTATATAACCTATCATGATGGGATGAGAATCAATTGAAAGAGGAGATTCTAAAGTTTTTGTACACCACTAAACATAGTTGAAAAAATTAGTTCCAACGGATATTTTTTTTAGATTAACTACGATTTTAAATTAATTCCACAATTTAAAATCAATGAAACTCTAAAATACGAACCCTTTTTGCTCTTTCGAAGTCGTGTTCCTCACAGCTTACAATAATAATGAACAACAATAACTGAGCGGTAAATTATAGAACTAATTGACCCCTAGTGGTATAATTAATTTGACAATTCAACATACAGTATGAAGTTGTGAGATTCAGAGAGGTAGAAGTGTGTAATTAATTTAAAATCGTAATTAAAATCTAAATTATCTGTAGAGGCTAATTTTGGAACTATGTTTACTAAAGTGGTGTCAAACAAAACTTTAGGAGTGTAGGGGTCCCGGCCACTGGTAGACAATCCAGGGGCCATAATCTAACTTAACATAACCTATCCAAACTTCTATGTGCGGATTAGATCGGTTCTCCGTTTCCCAAACATTAGAATCTCCTCTTTCTATTGATTCTCACCATTATACTGACTTATGTAAGAAACAAAGTACAAGTTACAGGAAAGCACCTAAAGTGAGTGGTCAAGTACTTGGCAAAGTTTCTTGGATTTCTCAAGTAGTTTGGGACTGTTTGGCTCAAAACTCAACAATTTTTACTTACGTTTTACGTTGCCATTCACGTGCTGTGATGATGGGTTGTATGGTTCTTCTTAAGAGTTTAAAACGTGTAACAATAATTTAGAATCACCCTGTATTATATTCTGGTCCTAATCTTCCTGTTTAGTTTATGTTTTATATATTATGGTACTATATACTTCTATTCGAGTTTATAGTAACCCGAAAATGCTTTCTGCATCGTCATCCAACCCTCCCCCCAAATATGCTTAGTTAAATGTAACTTTTTAAAGACTGGACTATGCATATTACATACTTTCCTCTTATTACATTCCATATATCCTAACAAAGTTCATCCATACAAAGCACGGTAAAGTTGCTTCGATATTAACCGTAACTATGTGACTAAATTGAAACTTCATATGGTAATGTATAGCATCTCTAACAATACTCGACGATCTATAATTTCATCGCCTCAAGAAACATCTTGTAATTAATTTGTATTCCGTTTGGATATTCCTTACCTCCCTTGACAACAATTGACGTAACAAACCTACACAGTTAATTGAAGAAACTATTTTCAGCTTGTCATTAAATGCGTTCTACCATCTCCAGTATAAAAAATTTATACCAAATTATATTGAGAATTTGATTCCCACAGTTAATGTTTCATATTTTCAATTTATTTATCATCAAAGAAAGTTAAATTATTTCATAATACCACGAGCACTTACGTGAGAAACACAAATCCTGTTAAGTATCGACACTAACGACTTTTGTTTTTACCTCTAAAAGTAAAAACTGGTGATGATGTATCCTAATAGCAATACCTTTCTCGCGTGTTCAAACGCCTTTTAATAGCCGAGCCTCTTAAACTGTAGGCAATTGTTCTACACTCATCACACTACTTTTTTGGTAGAAATTCACCAATTTGCGTCCTAATTACTGTAACAACGATAACAAGACCATCACTTTGGTCGTTCCCTGAAAAACGTAAACAGTACACACGTTAAAAACACAAAACCTCACAACAACCCCTTTATCATCAGGACTTTGAGGATAAATATATAAAAACTTTGAGTTGTAAACATCTGTAAGTCAGTGGAAGTGTCTACAATTAGTGAAGTCACAGTTGGGCAGCGTGGTCAGTTATCTATCTTATCATTGTGTGTGTTACAGGGTCAGAGAGCACGTGTGTGCGCGTGTGTGCGTGCGAGTGACATGGCGAAGTCCAGGCACCGACCTCTCCGAGCAGAGGCGCTCACGGCGCAAAACCCCCAGGTGCTGCAAAACCCTGGTGAGTAAATGAGTTTTTTTCGAGGTAACTTTACACCATCGGGTAGCAAGCTGGTCTTGTCGTAGGACGCTGGGCTTCGGTTCCCAAAGTTCCGGGTTCAAATCCCACCAATTATTTGTCTTTTAGCTAACTGATAATGTTGCAGCCATGAGACGTGGAACAATCTGAAATATCTGGATGACGCACCTTGGTACGTCGGCCCGCTTCTTCAAGAGTCTCACAAGATTTGTTTTCAATTTAAATTCACAAAACGAGGAAATTGTGGTAATAAACTAGCCACTCTACCATAGTAATAGATGTTTTAACCCACTCTATTTTTAGACGGAAATTTATCTTGGATTGATAAAACTCTTACAAATTCCTTAAACCACCATCATCACCAAGGGTACCTAAAACAAAGAAGAAAATGATCAACATTAAATGTCCGGTTGCATTTGAGTAGTATCTATGATATATGAACTGATGAAAGTGGAATTCTGAAAAATCATAGGACATAAAACAATCTCTAGGTAGTCGAAATATGTTTTCAAAATAATTTAACACCAAAATATACATAGTAGAATAGTATTGGCTGATAATTGAAATTCTGCTGCACAATTCTGTTGAAATTGTCGATTAGATTTGTCAATTCCAAGTTATCATACCACCTGTTCAATTATCTGGCTTGAGCTTGTATTTTTAGAACAAACTTTTTTTGCATACACATTAAACGTACGGCTCGTTCACATAGAGTTCAACACATAAACTATACTGATTAACATTACATCTGCAGGTGTAGTTTGGAAATAAATTAATGAAGAGATACATTTAATGACCTTAAGCTGAAGGTTAGTTGTTACCAGATAGCATTAAGATAGTAGTGATAAGGGATGATGGTCAGTATATCTCCTCTTCCCCCTCCCTCCATCATAACTAATCTCGTATTTCAGAACAAGGATCTCGTGTTGCCTCTAACACCTCAATTTGTACAGAAAATCCGAGGGATTCTGGGTTTTAGGTTACAATAATAAAATTCAAATGATGTCTCCATAACATAGGGGATGGAATTGTATTGCTCAGTGCTCCAGAGAAAGATTTGATATATTTATAAAACCAATGCAAGATAACAAGCTTTGTAAGATGTATGGTCTTATCTGCTAACCCACCCTAAGTACAACCTAGAAAAGAGTACCCAACCCTCATGTGAAAATGTATGCAAATTTCAGTGCAAAAGGGTATATTATGACGGTTTAGAGATTCACCACTAGGATAGAGGAGATTTTCTTTAATATTTAAGTACTATAACGTCAACGCATATACACCATTCTCCTGTTAAAATGTAGCTGTTTATTTGCCTGATATATGAATAAAAAGACTTCACAAAACCAATTTAATTTGGATATGATAGAACAAAAATTCTACAACAACAGACAAAGAATAAACACAATCACAACATTATGTTAATACATAATCAAATCCTAAACAGTTCATTAGGACCCTGTACCCTGTAGAAACCGCCATCTCCATTATTCACGGAACCTCACAAGATTAAATTACACTTTATGTACCTATGTGAACTGATTCGTAAGTTTGGAATGTCAGTCCAATAATGAAATATAAACAAAATTCGAAGGATGTAATGTGAATATGTAAAATAAACATTACAACATAAAGGAGATCGGTTCGTTTGAAAGGAGTCCTTGGAGGATAGCGGCCATCTTGGATAACCTCAAACTGCTGCTAAAAGTGTTTATCATCCAAAAATATATCTTTCACCAAAGTGATTATAATTCAAACATCTAGGACACTGTGAAATTAGAAATCACAGTGTCCTAGATGTTTAAATTATAAACGGCAAATATTTTATTTGTTGTTTTGAAATGTTTTTCAAGGGAGTCCATGAAAGCCAACGGCCATCTTAGATTTGCCCGTCATAAGAGCAATGTTAATTTCGTTAATCTTAAACAGCCGCTGGAGAGTTATTTACTATTTCAAACTTTTGTTTGAATACCAAAGTAATTGTAATTTGAATATCTTGAGCAACGTGAGGTTAAAAATGGTCTTTGTAATTTTTTTATTGTTTTATGAAATAGAATGTCTAGGCTGTAAGGCTCTTAATAGTTTCATTAAGTAGTTAGTTAAGCTAAGTAGCACTCTTAATTGTCGTTAAGTGAAATGTACTTGGCAATTCTTTCACTGAAAAACGATATCTAAAGTATTACTACATTACCGTATTATTTATTTAACATTTAATTGACATTCATTTTTATTTCATTCATATTTATTTATAACATTTTTGCAACTGGGAAACGTCAAAAAATTAATAAGAGAATCCCTTCCCAAAAAAACGAACCTAAAACCTTTCTACCTAATGCTGTATATATTGCCAAACAAGTATTTCCATAGCCTTGCGGACTTCAAACGGCGACTTATAAGATAAGACTTATATGATTGAACCAGAGTAAAAGCAAAATTCTGTATTTGTATCGCCTTTTACAAGATCAAAGCAACTTAAGTGTACACGAAATTGAATTCATCTTAAGTATGAGATCTCAATCATAAAGTTTATTTAAGCCATACATTTTACGTTGATTCATTTTTTAACAAATATCTTTAGGCTTATTGTGGAAAATATGTGTTACATAACAAATGTCATATGCATTGTACTTATATTTGTGTAGCTAAACTACCTTATGTCCGTCGATGGCTTCTGTAATGAGCAATCTCAAAGTGTGTCATTATTTTTTTGTTACACTAAACCAAACCCCACCAAACACGTGTTTTAATTTTATCTGGCTTCTCTAATATTTATAGCTTTATTATGGTTCACTAGCTAAAAGAGAGCCATTGCTACTTTATACGTAATCAAAAAGTTATAAAGTAAATTACAAAGAAGCAGCACACTCAAATACTTTAATCAATGCCCATCGCTTCGCTGCGCTCTAAGTTAATTTAATTGCATTAAACTTGGTGAAAGTTTCTAAATTGGAGTATAGACATTAATATTACAAACGAGAAATTTTTGATGTTACTCAAGCACCCTTTAACTACTGAACTGAGTTTATGTTAAATTGATCACGTGGACATAATATAACCTAAAGTAGAAGCCTGAAGTTTGATATTTAGATTTAAGGTTTGCACCCTTAAAGTTATCAAGTCAACTTGATAAAAATGTACGTATATTCATGAAAACATTTTTTAAAGTCGTACATTTATGTTATTTACCCTACTCAAAAAGTTAATAACATTAACCACAATATGTATTATAAATATTGCATATCGTGGCTTTAAAATAAAATATTGTGATTCCTTTAGTCCTTGTGTTGAAAAAGTAAAGCTACATCAGAACACAGAAAATCAATCGCCAAACTAAAATAATTCTCCACAAGACTAAAAGTTGTGTGAATAGATTATACACCTTCAATATATTTTTTGGCCTATAGAATCCACTCATGAGGTTATTTTATCTTTAACACTCTCAGAACTTAAAAATATACAAGTTTATGGCACCAAAAAGCTTAAGTTTAGATTATGTAATGATTTCCGCAAGAGTCAATGTTATGTATAACCACAGACAAGGGAAACAAAGGGGAAAAAACTTTTATTTCCTTAGCCAATGGTATAACGTTCTTTAAATTATGAATAATGATGTTCACTATTAAGGTGTTTACATTTAAACTTCCGCCAAGTTTGTTATCAAGACAAGGTAGGATTTCCGTCGTATCAACTTACGGCCTCTGACAGTGGATAAGAAAGTTGCAACAATGGTGCTAATTAAATACTGGCAAACCTCTTATTTTTATCAATTTGAAAACTGAAACCACGTGCAATAAAACATCAAATATTTCAATTAAATATTTCTGGAAACATAAAACCTTTTTAAAATAAAAATAAATGTAGAAACTTCCATCACCAATTAAAGTATTTAACTACACAAGTTATAATTGCCTAAGTTATTTCAGAACGCGTTTTAGTAAGTGTATCTTTTATTTGCCTTCAACTCCATGGTGGACAATAATTGCTTACGTTTTCAGTTTTTAATCATTATCAATATACAGTACTTTGTGATTTAAAAAAATGTACATTTTCATTAAATTATTCGATAACTTGATTGGTTATCGAACTTGGAAAAATACGACGCTTTTTTGCGTTAATAAATCGTATTAAAGTAACGTTAAAACAAAAACTACGAATTCCGTAATCTCTTTATTTGATAGTACAGTAGTAACACAGAGTTGCAGCGGGTCTACTAAGTAGAGCGCAGGACCTATGTATCAAGAGACCTGGGTTCGAATCCTGCGATTCGCAAGTGGCTGTGAGTGATGTGATAAAGACGACATTTAATGGCTCATGGTACATTTTAGCCCAATTTTAAACTATTTGTAAAGGGAAAATGTGAAAATCTCATCCTGAAAGTTTTTTTCGTTTTAGCAAAAAACCATTGGTTTCCGAATGTTTAAGTAGCATAAGGGGATCTATTATTCGATTGTTTACAATTCACAGTTTATTTTCAAATATTTGTTTCTTTTCAATAAAAGTATTATACCATCAAAGCATACACAACATTCTCCTGTTAAACTGTAGCTGTTTATTTGCCTGATATAAGAAAAAAAACTATACTTCAAAAAACTGATTTAGTTGGGATATGATAGAAGAAAAAAATCTACAGCAACAGACAAAGAATAAACACCATCACAACATTATGTTAATACATAATCAAATCCTAAAATAGTTCATTAGGATACCCCTGTATCCTGTAAAAACTGCAATCTCTTTTATTCACAGAACCTCACAAGATTACATTACATTTATGTACCTATGTGAACTGATTCGTAAGTTTGGAATATCAGTCCAATCATGAAATATAAAAAAATACCGAGGGATGCAATGTAAATTTGTAAAATACACATTACAACATCGGTTCGTTTGAAAGGAGTCCTTGGAGGCTAGCGGCCATCTTGGATAACCTCAAACTGCTGCTAAAAGAGTTTATCATCCAAAAATATATCTTTCAAACACCA